GCCATGAGCCGCGAGCACACTGCGGAATGCTACGTTCGAGGACAGTGATCGGTGAAGGCTCATTGTACGTCCACACTTGACGCCGCGAACGACGACGAGCAGAGCGGCTCCGTTTAGCGTAGACGCACGTTAGACTTCTTCAATATGCGTTATTTTAACTCCTTCACAAATACATAAGTTATTATTTGCAATGCGTTCTGCGTGATTTATTTTATATTCCTACATATACATAGAATATAAAATGCCCAATAATTACTACGGACGTGGTACACGGGGCCTTCAACGATTTATGTAAATTTATTTCGACACGAATAGTTGAAAATTTGCCTCTCATCGATATGTAAAATGCGTGAATTAAACTGTGATTAATAATTACTTATTTATGGATGGCCAAAAGCTCATAGTGAAAATGTAATAAAGTGCCAGACAACCACACCAATTTGTTTTAATAATTATTTAGGTATACATTATATATTTCCTCAATACTCTCACCGTCAGTAACTCTTACTTGAATATACTAGAGGTTAGGTGCCTGGAATCATATGGAATCATATCACGAGCTCTGCTTACTTTCGGAAGGGCTCCATCATTCGCTCGAGGTAACGTGATAAGTGCCTACCTCTTGAGTGTATTGCTGACAGTGCAAGCGCTCTGACAATTCTTTCATTTATATTACAATCCTTTAATACATATGGCGCACTATAAGTTTCCGGAACTGGCCGCTTACATAAACAATATTTAAAAATTGCAACATTTGAAAATGGAACTTTTTGGCTGTAGAATACAGTTTGTTTCATTTGACTGTCACTTGTTTTTACAATGTGGCGTCATTTTAGAAGTTGGTTGTCTACGGGTCGTATTCTCTATTCAATGCTCAAATCAGGATTGCACTGGCAACACAAGCACTGGAAATACGACCCTAATGGCAGGGACTTGAGTATGATTTCTAGTGCTTTGAATCATACTTAAGTCCTGACTTAAGCATTGAGTAGAGTTCTAGAATACGACCCTACATCACCATGGATTTAACTCGTGAAAATTTTCGTAGATGATTTTCTACGAGTTTAAGTGTAATTCAACAGCTCAGCGAAGCTTCGCTCGGCTTCAAACTGCTTTTGGCGATGAAACACCATGCAAGACGACTATTTATAGCCAGTTTACAGAATTCAATCGCGGTCGTGTGAAGCTCAGTGACAAATTTCGTGATGGTGATGGTTCCACTGCTGTGAACAACAAAAACATCGATGCTGTGCGCCGTATGATCAAAACAGACAGGCGTGTGACATACCATGAGATTCGGGCATAGGCATGAGTCAAATACAATCTATAACTACACAAACATTTGGGTGTGAAAAAGGTGTGCTCTCAGTGGATCCCACACAATTTGATTGAGGCTCAAAAACGGATCGCGTCACTTGGTGCAATGCCATTCTTACCAGGATTCAACGCGGCGTCCAGTGGCGTCAAATTTGGTGTGGGACCATTGACTTACAATTATATGGACGTCGGGTCCGCGCTAAAAAGTGTCCGAACTTATGGGCGTTAAAATCGTATACAGAGCGTCATTCACGGTTTAGTCTTCGTTTGTTCGACTGACAGCGAAGCAAGCAAAATTAGACAGTACTGCGATGACATTACAATTTAAATTCAACGTTTTAGCTTTTTCATATTCCTTTACATGTCACTACGTTTAAATAGGTTGACTTGGGACATTTTTTTCGTGGTTTTTGTATTAGACCCGTCGTCCATTTATTTGTAAGTCAATTTGTGGGACATAGTAACAGGTGACAAAACATGGATTTATAGTTACGACCCCAAAACAAAGCAGCAATCGAGCGTACGGGTCTTTCGAGATGAGCCGAAACCGAAACCAAAGTGGCGCGCGTGCAAAGTGTATCTAAGCGGATGATTGCTACTTTTTTAAATAAAACTGGACACGTGGCTGCTGTTGCTTTGGAGAATCGTACCGTGAATAATGATTGGCACACGACCATTTGTTTGTCGGAAGGTATCAAACTCCGTAAAAATAACCGTAAACGCCGTATTATCTTACACCACGATAATGCCAGCTCTCACATGGCCAGACAGACAAATGAATTTTTGAAGGTGAACAACGTTGACCTTATGAGCCATCATGCGTACAGTCCCGACCTGGCACCTTGTAACTTTTATTTATTTCCAAAAATTAAAAACCAGTTACGCGGTCAACGATTTTCATCACCTGAAGAGGCTGTCGAAGAGTATGAACAATATGTTTCAGAGATAGTCACGAAGGAGTGGCATAAATGTTTTCAAAATTGGTTCATTCGTATGAAAAAGTGCATTAACGCTAACGGAGAATATTTTGAGAAACATTTATAGTATTTTTTTCTTATTCATTCCGGAAACTTATAGTGCGCCCCACGTATAACTCCAGCATTCGGATCCGCACGACTGCAACGTCATTTTCACCTCTCGGAGCGCGTGCTTAGGTTCCCTTTTCCTCGTAATGAGCGCCTGGTGTTATTAGCCAGACTTAGTAGGCTTACTTAGAAAAGTTCATTTCCCAAATTGATCCTATCGGGAATCGAACCTGGTACCGCCGCATCTAGCGTCCACAGTGCAAACCGTTGGGCCACCAAGGTCATCAAATGTTGATTTTTATTTATGAAATTGACACCTGTGCCTGTGCTTAAGATTATAACGGTAACAATATTTGAAATAAATTTGGTTTTTTTTTTGTACGCTTATTTTTTTGTAAATAATTTCTTATCTGCAATAGTGTGTATAGAAAATGTTTGAGTAACCTACATAAGATAAGTGTGTCTTATTTGCTTTTGATAACGTATATATTTGCAAAAAATAAAATCCTTGCAATTAGTTGAAAAATGCCATAAATAATAAGAAGATCAATAGTTTTAAAAGGAAATTTTACTAAAATCTCAAGAGTGATGTTGTACTGTTACCATTTTCTCTTCGATCCTTTCATACAGTTCCTTATTTTTTTATTATATTTTTTATATTTACTTACTGCAAGTAATTTTCCTATGTTTATTTCATCATCAACCGATTACATCCCACTGCTGGGCACGTGTCTCTTCTCAGGAGAGGGTCTTTGTCAGCCATGCTGGTCCGATGTGGGTTGGGTACTTTACACGTTCCTCGAGACTTGTGAACCTTATTCGACTTGCAAGTTTCATCACGACGTTTGCCTTCATCGAAAAGCTCATGGTAAATTTGAAATAAAATTTCGCACATAAATTCCGAGAAAATCGGAGTTGCGAGCCCGTATTCGAGCCCAAGGCCTCGGCTTGAGAGGTGGTAGGTCAAACCATTAGGCTGCCAGGGTTTCATTTATTTATTTACATTCGGATATATATACTCGGATCGGAATTAGTAGAGGCGAAGCTCTGCAGCTTTGAATACCGCCGTAAAGCTGACAGCTTATCCGGATTCTACAGGATATATCAGGGCTCTTACAGATAAACACGATACGACGACGCGTCGTGCTACGATGCGACGTAGTAATAACAAATGAATGCGGCATTGGGGAGCGCACCTTGATTTTCTACGATACGACGTCGTGCCGTGTGTCGTGACACGTTGCGATGTCGTGTCGTGCATTTTTTGTTGCTCGCCGTAGATTTCCACGATACGACGTCGCATTGGGAGACGATGACGCGTCGCACGACGCGACATCGTATCATGTTTATGTGTAAGAGCCCGGAGAGTGTGCGATGGAATTACACGATTTAATTCCGTCTTCCCCTTTCCATCACAGGTGGGCCTAGACGTAGGCTTGGGTTCCACCCCTATGCTGTGGCTGTGGATATTCTTAAGATTCGCACGAAGCGTTACACTTCCACATTTATATGACGAACGGCTATGAAGTGGGATTCTTTGCCTGCAGACTTGTTCCCTGAACGTTATGACTTGGACCTTTTTATGGCCGTGAGTGAAGGGGCTTTATTTAGGTGTGCATGCTCCATCGTCGACCTCATCGTCACTTTCCATCAGGTGACATAGAGGTCAAATGTGCACTTACATTTTTATTTAATATAAATTTATATGTTTCTTTATTAATTACTATTTATTATTTTATTTTCCAACAAAAGTGTATAAATATTTTTTTAAATATGTAATTGTCATCGTTACACTGCGAAAACCAATTTATCTAGAATTTTGATAGAAAATTACTTGACTATAGGAAAACGCGACATAATTTATTCTGTAAACTTATGTAAAATGCAAATATTTACCAATCAAACATAAAAATTAAATGTGGAATCATCTGTAATAAAATTAACGTAGATAACTATGCTATTTGTACGAAATATTAGTCTTTGAACTTTAATTTATATTATTTATATTTATATTATCAAAGTCATTTGTTTGTAAAATAATTGTTATTCCTAGTATAACGGCGGTATTATTATCCGTATGTATATATTTTTAGTATCTATTTGTATATATTTGTTTGAAAAAAATCCATTCGAAGGTTTTCTTCGATTGTACACCGTTTCCTACTCTTTTTAACCGTCTTCAAACAAGTAGGAGGTTGTCAATACTTTTGTTTTTTTTTTGTTTCTTACGCGGTTGCTCCGACATTTGCAAATCGATTTGGATAATTCTGGTTTTGTTGGAGAGGGGGTATCTCAGCATGGTTTTATTCAAATTTGAAAATGAAGGTGGCAAATTAGGCGATGAATCCAGTTTATTATATTTCAGTTAACCGATTCCAATAAAATTTGGCAAATAGGTTACACAAACTTATAAGGTCGTTTTTTATAATTATCAAAGGCCGCCTGTTGTACAATAGTTTATGTAGTGATACTTATATAGTGATTGTAATTTTTTAATGTGCTATAAAGAACATTTCTTTAATTATGCATAAAACAAATACAATGAAACCTATTTGTCTCCTTTCTGGTACGAAAGGTACTGTTATTCCTACGAACCTGGAAAATACCCCAGGTCTTCGTGATATTTTTCCTAAACGAGCTTGCATTTGATTGTTGCAGAAGCAAGCGGCTTGGCGCGGCGTAGCGGGCGGGCCGCGCCATGGGTAATAAGTGCTGCAGCCGCCGCCATGACCCCGACAGGCCTTTGGGTGAGTATCTAAGTAAGTGGGGAGTCAGTAGCTACTACATGAACCAGTGCTAGCAGGAAACTGGTGTAATTCCTTGCCATCAGATATGTTGAAGCGTAATAAACAATCATATATGGTAAAATAATGTCAATATGGCAAGTATCTTTACAACTTCTTGCTTTATCCACATGGACACTCACAGATTCTATGTGCAAAAAAGTGGAAGTCTTCGAAATGTATAGGAGAATCTTGAGAGTATCGTGGAGATAGAGAGACAAAGTCACGAACGAATGGGGTAATGTAACGTGTAACGAGAAGTGTTGAATAACATCAAAATAATGAAATCAGAGTATCTGGTTCATATACTGAGAAACCCAAAGTACGATACTATTATAATTAATAATCCAAGGCAAAATACAACGAAAGAGAGGTGTAGGAAGAAGGAGAATATTCTGGCTCAGAAATTTGCACCAGTGGTTCAATACGAGCACCCGATCATCATTCAGAGCTGCAGTCCAAAGCTCAGATTGCCATCATGATCGCCAACCTTCATTACAAGATGGCACGTGAAGAAGATCCCCATGCTGCATTATTTTTTCTTATATGTAGCCCCGTGTGTCCAGGGCAACCATGTATCATGGGTGCCATGGACATACATAGAAAACACAAATTACGCCCAAACTCACGAGAGAAATAAATGTAGACCAAAATAAAAATATTTATCCCGGCTCGGGAATAGAACGCGACCTCAGCGTAGCAGACCAGCATGGTAACCGTTCGGCCACAGAGGCAGTTAGAATTGAATCTTTGAATTTCTATTCATATCCCGTCGGCGTTTTTTTTGGGCACCCGTGAACATTTATTCATACATTACCCCATCTAAGTCATTCTGTTTTAATCTCGACTTTTGACTTGACGAAAAGTGACGATGAGGTCGACTATGGAGCATACAGTAATAAAACAGCACAAAGTATAAGTGTGTACTTAAATATTGCCTTTTCACTCTTGGTTCGAAAAGGTCCAAGTTAAAGTAAATTTTATTTGGCGAAACTTATTAAAATAATTTCCCTTGTGCCTTTACATACCTAGCTTTTATAGGTACTCCATCCAATATTCCGCCGATCAGTATCATAAAGCAAAGCTTTAAATAAACCGAAGCTCAGTATCGGATTAACCAGATTTGCTGGAAGCTATGCTCTATATATAAAACTAGTGTATAGTCGTGTTTTGCAGATACTTAAGAATGTCTAGACATGCTATTGCTCGCTCGAAGAAATTATATGTATTTTGACTTCTTATTATTGTATGTATTTTGTAGAGAACGCGATTGTAAGGCTCTTACTGAGCAGATCTACGAAGCTATACTCTACACTCCTATACTATCCTTAATACAGTACAGATGAGGTTTTGAGGACGTACAAACGATTGGTTTTGATTTTGATCCAGGTAATAAAATACTATTTTCTTCTGTTACCTTTGTCATTAAAAATGCAATAAACGATTTTCATACAAAAATGTGATGACATCAGTAGTGACTGTGAAGACGTGGTGGATTTTGAGGCCTTAAGAAAGACAATTTTATTTATTTTGGTCCAGGTAATAATACTTTTCTTATATCTCATTTATCATTTTCCCAGGGAAAATAGATGCCAAAAACTATTTTCATATAATAATAATAATAATAATAATAATAATAGTCATAAGTGATACTTTATTATAATTACTTAAAACAATTTCTCAAATATACTTATTTAAAATTATATATAGTCATAATAGAGACGAGTCTAAAATAGACACATAATAATAATTCGTTTATTTGCTTAATTAGCGTTCCGAAATTTGCCGTGTTTGGTTACAAATTTATCAATTTCTACAGGAGACTTTACAAGATTTTGTACTTTGTACATAGTACAACAAACACTATACATAAAAATTCCCTATTTTATTTTCATATTTCAACTTCATCAAGATTCAAAATTATCAACATATTTAATTTCTTTAATGATTATCATTCATGATAATTATTTGATATTTATACGATAATTATACATGCTGATTCAATACTTCAATTCACAGTTTTGTCTATATATATGGACTATAAATTCAAGTACTTGTTGAAAATTATGAAATAATCAACATCATTTTTTTATTACCTGTAATATGATATTATAAATCGCTATATTTTAAAGATTATTTCTTATTTATTGTAAGACTGTAACAACAATAAAAAAGATCACAGCTTTCATTGCAAATCAGACTTAATATTATTACTTATTTATAATTTAAAAACAATAAAAAGTTAAAAAACCCCATAATTAGTTTCAAATCAGTCTTAATACTATTACTTATTTTCGTTTTAATTAATTAGACTAATAAGTAGCATGTTATCCTCATTATCAGATTCGTTTTCTACTGCCACTGTCACCATCGTTGTTTAATTCCAGTGCTCCAATTAATTCTATAAATATAAAGATAATTATCAAAGTATATTTATTAAGATAAGTATCGTGATAATGATCATGATAATTATCACTTCGAACCCTGAACTTTATTGACGTTTTTAAAAAAGCTGATACGGTAAATCTCTGATTTTATTTTATTTATCTTTGCTATCACTAAAATATAATATAAATAAGTA